GTATGATACCATAATGATGGATATGTGGCATTATACATTTGTCCAAACTCAGAATGTACAACACCAAGAGCGAACTTTAATGTAAACTGTGGACTTTGGGTGATTATAATCTGTCAATGTAGGTTCATCTGTTGTGACAAATGTACCACTCTGTTGGAGGACACAGATAATGGGAGAAGTTATGCATGTTCAGGAGCAGGGGATATATGAAAAACCTTTGGACCTTCCCCTTGATTTTCCTGTAAACTGCTCTAAAAAAAAGTCTTAATGAAAAAAGTATTGGTTAGTATATATATTTTCTGATAAGCTCATAATTAGCATATTGGAAATATATTTATTCTGGAACACAATGCATGCTATCCTTTTTTTATTGAAATGTATATAAATGGGTTTCCTAATTTAAAAAAAATAGAGGTTAGGAATTAGAATAAATTTTTATAATGTTATAGTGATATATTATCATGTTATAAAACTTAACTTATGATGCTAAAAGAGTGTAATATTGGCCTATATTATCAAATAGCATGTCTATGCAAGTGTGTTTTATCCTTTAGATAATTATATAGTGATCTAAGATTTTCCTTATTCTTGAAATATTAAGATAAAATAAATAAAACATGACATAATAATTATTATCATTAGAAACAGAGAAAATTAAAATAGCTGAAATTCAAAACAAACCTGATTATCAGTGTTAGAAACATTTTGGCAGATTCAAATTTTTTAAATTATATTAATGAAATAGACATTACATTGCTCAAATTATAAACATATCTGCTGATAATTAATAATAACAATAACATATATAAATCTTAATCTCAGAAAAGAAACTGAGGATTGCTGGAGTGGTGGGGGGTGAGAGGGATGGGGTAGCTGGGTGATAGACATTGGGGAGGGTATGTGCTATTGTGAGCGCTGTGAATTTTGTAAGACTGTTGAATCACAGACCTGTACCTCAGAAACAAATAATACATTATATGTTTAAAAAAAAAAAAAGATAGCAGGAAGGGAAAAATGAAGGGGGGGAATCGGAGGGGGAGATGAACCATGAGAGACTATGGACTCTGAGAAACAAACTGAGGGTTCTAGAGGGGAGAGGTGTGGGGGATGGGTTAGCCTGGCGTTGGATATTAAAGAGGGCACGTACTGAATGGAGCACTGGGTGTTGTATGCAAACAATGAATCATGGAACACTACATCAAAAACTAATGATGTAATGCATGGTGATTAACATAACATAATAAAAAATATATTTGGGGAGAACAGATATATACAGAAATAATATAGTTTTTTTTTTTTTTTTTTTAGGATTTTATTTATTTATTTGACAGAGAGAGAGAGACACAAACGAGAGAGGGAACACAACAAGGGAGAGTGGGAGAGGGAGAAGCAGGCTTCTGGCTGAGCAAGGAGCCCAATGTGGGACTCAATCCCAGGACCCTGGGATCATGACCTGAGCCAAAGGCAGACGCTTAACGACTGAGCTATCCAGGCACCCCGTTCATTTTCATTCCTATAAAAGTACTATTAGATTACAGAATAAAAATTACTCATTTTTACTTTGGAAACCAAAAGAATTTTACTAAGACAAAATGACAAAGCCTACTATTTGATGGCTACAAATTCTGTATTAGGGTGTTTAGATTTTATTATTATTTTTTAAATATTTAATTAATTTATTTAAGAGAGACAGCACGAGAGAGAGAGCACAAGCAGGAGGGGGGAGGGGTAGAGGGGGAGGGAGAAGAAGACTCCCCACTGAACAGGGAGCTGGATCCCACTGAACAGGGAGCTGGATGCCGGACTCAATCCTAGGATCCTGGGATCATGACCTGAGCTGAAGGCAGACATTTAACCGAGCCACCCAGGCGCCCCTAGATTTTATTCTATAGACACAGTGTTTTCACTATTTATATAAGTAGATTATGTCCACTTGCTGAGGCTTGCAAGAAAGAACATTACAGAAATTATATAAAAGTAGGTCTCTGCAAGTTGGGCTTCTTCTACACATCTGTATGTTTCACTATATAAGATAATTTAACATTTAAGTAATGTAAAAATCAAACCTAATGATAGCAACTTCCTCAAACTTTATTTGTGAAATTGCTGTGTTTACATATAATGTGCCAAAGGAAGATATCTGATTTATTTATTATTTTTTTAAAAGATTTTATTTATTTATTCATGAGAGACAGAGAGAGAGGCAGAGGGAGAAGCAGGCTCCCAAGGAGCAGGGAGCCCAATGCGGGACTCGATCCCAGGACCCTGAGATCATGACCTGAGCCGAAGGCAGACGCTTAACCATCTGAGCCACCCAGGCGCCCCAGATATCTGATTTAGAGAAGAATCAACCCAGGAGAAATGTTTAAGTGTTGGAAATGCTAGAAAATTTTCCAGTGTTTCACATTTAATGTTCTTCTGATTTTTTTTTTCAGTAATAAAACCATATATTGAGTTTTATAGCACTGACTGAATTTTCTAATCTTACTCAGCTCTGACCCAAGAGGAAATTACATCAACCACTTTTATCTAGGTCAATTAACCTATATTGGACACATTCATTCTTGAGAGTATTAAAGCCAGTGCTTAAGGTGAAAGTTGAAAATAGTCACAATTGCTCTTTAAAATCCATTACAGATTCGCTAAGTTAATGATAAACTAAGTATTTTTAAACATATAGATATAGCTGATTTTTTTTCTCTCCACCCCTAGAATGTATATGGATATGCATTTCATCTGTAGATAGCAAGATGGAAAAGTTGGATTATTTACCACTTTTTTAAATCACCTCTCATATTTCTTATTTCAATATGTTATGTTTTATTTGGCGGCAGGCGGGAAGGGGCACCTAATGATAAATTATGGCATTAGCATACAGCTAGTGGTCTAACTGAAGCTAAATGCTCATTTTTCCATGGCCTATACTTTGGGTAGAGGATTGATGTTTTCGTAGCTAGTTGTGTTATGAAAAGTAGGAAGGAAAAAATATTTTGAAGGTTGAATGAGATTAAAATATTGATAATCATAAAGTGAATATGTTTTACCAGAAGAAAAACCACAATTTCTAAAATATAATTTGTTCACAGAGTTGGTAAGTTAATTTGCTTATTAATAAGTATTTTTATCATATATTCCATTTTGCATTTGGCACTGTGAGTGATGAAAATAAGTATGACATGCCATTTGACTGAAAGAAGAGCAAAAAAAAGACCGAACAAAGAAAACAAATTATTAATTTAGTAATTATGTGTTTTGTGGTGCTGCCATTGTGAGAGATAGAAATTTAGAGAAGTAAGATTAATCAATGTAGGGTAATTGTCCAATTTTTAATTGATGACATTGGTAACTAAAATTATCACAGTTTTATTGGGTAATTCATATGTCAGACACTTCATTTCATTTAATCATCCTAAAATAACCATCATGAGAAAGAAAGTAATATCAGCATTTAGGTGAAGAAATGGAATTTCAGATGTCTTAATCATGTAATCTCTAAAAAGTAAAAGATGAGGCATTCGAGCACAAGTTCATTCAACAATGGCTCACACTCTTAACCACATTCACCTATAAATAAGTTCAACTATAAAATTATTATCTGAAAATGTAAAATTCAGCTTTTATTCCTAATGATAACTTGAGAAACTAAGGGCCTCTTCTACAATTACAAAACTATTATATGTGAAGAAATCCCTACAGAAATTGTTGAAAAGAATAAAATCAGATATATGTTAAGAGATTAATAGGATTAAAGGCACTGAGTTAAAAACATGCTCAATTTAGGGATATCTTATAGTGAAAATTTGGATGACTCTAAACAATAATGGTATTGGATAACAATGTTATTAATAACAAAGTATTAAATTTTGAATACATATCTAGTGTTAATCAGATGAAGCATATTTATGACAAAGGAAAGGGTACTAACTTCTGGGGACACATGTTGCAAATTGGGAACATTATTTTTTTTAAATATTTTATTTATTTATTAGACAGAGAGAGAGATCACGAGCAGGGAGGAGGGGTAGAGGGAGAAGCAGATTCCCCGCTGAGCAGGGAGTCCCATGCTGGACTTGATCCCAGGACCCCAGGATCACGACTTGAGGTGAAGGCATATGCCCAACCGAATGAGCCACCCAGGCACCTGCAAATTGGGAAAAACATTAACCCTGCCCCTGAAGATGTTAGTAAGACTTGAGCTTCTTAGACGTCATAGTGGTCTATGGACCGGGACGGCTAGTGGAGTGTATATGATCAAGGGGTCAGATGACAGACAATCAGCAAGTGTCTTTGTGGGACAGTACTGCTTCCACTCAATTTTCTAAATTGAGTTGAAACCAGCTGGGCATCACACTACCACCCTTGCAGTAACAGGGTTGCTACTGTGCTAATGAATTTAGAACATGCATACCTATGCCAAATCTATCTTCCACGACCTGACTTGTCTCTTCGTGGCATGCAAACTTATCTACTAAACAAGTACAAAGCATATAATCAGCACAACCTGATTTTTAACAAGGGAATTTGTACCTAGTTATCAAAAAGGATCAATAATATCTTCAAAGTATCTAGCTCAATGTGATTCATTATGTTAATTCAATATATATCTACAACAGCTTCTTTCATTATTATGATATAAGCTTCCTTCTCCCTACAATTAGAGTAATAATATATCTCTTGGATCTTTGAAATTAATATATTAAATGGATACTGGCAAATCTATAGAATATGATTTAAAAATTTTTTTTTAAAGATTTTATCCACTTGAGAGAGAGAGAGAGAAGGGGCAGGGGGAGGGGCAGGGTGAGCAGCAGAGGGAGAGGGAGAAGCAGACTCCCCACTGAACAGGGAGCCCGACTTGGGGCTCAGTCCCAGGGCCCTGGCATCATGACAAGAGCCGAAGGCAGATGCTGAATGGACCAAGCCACCCAGGTGCCCCTATAGAATATGATTTTTAAAGAGGAACATGTAGATTACACTGAATAGTTTAAAATGTTTTACAGATTTGTGAAGCTGGAAATCATTTCATCAATGTAATCTTGGCTCATCCCAATCACACAGGTTAGTCCCTTTTTCTCTTTATCTTCTCTAAACAATGTTAATTATTATTTTTAAAAGCCTTTATTAAACAATTTTTAAAGCAATAGTTGGAAACATTTAAGAGAATATATCCCAATTCTAGGCCCTGTATGCCTAAGTTTTTAAAATATTTGAACTAAATCGTATTTTCTTCTTCTTTTTTTTTTTTTAAGATTATTTATTTATTTATTTGAGAGAGAGAATGAGATAGAGAAAGAGAGCATGAAACGGGGGAGGGTCAGAGGGAGAAGCAGACTCCCTGCTGAGCAGGGAGCCCAATGCGGGACTTGATCCCGGGACTCCAGGATCATGACCTGAGCTGAAGGCATTCGCTTAACCAACTGAGCCACCCAGGCGCCCCAACTAAATCGTCTTTTCTAATAATGGTTTTTCTAAAATGAAATGTGCATGCCCCCCACATCAAATGACGATCTCACTTAAATATGTAAAAAATAAACAGATGATTAAGAACTAAGGCAGTATAAAATCCAGTGATAAATGCCAATTTTTTAGCTTAACTCTCAATCTTGATCTAATTTGCATAATAATTGATATAACCTCACTGTATTTCAAGTGACTTAAACTTTTTTTAATAATAGTGATCTTTGACAAATTCAGTAGCTCTGAGATAGCAATGCCTGGGAGGACATTTTGAATTTAGTAGTTAGTTAAAAGTATTTCACAAAATTCACAGTGTTTATATAAAGATATTCTTGGTAAATTAATCCTCTCATTCAGGTTTAATTATAGGTATGGATTCATACTGAGTTTTGTATATGACACATAATTTAATTATATTTTAAATGGCAATGGTCAACATTTGGATTTCATGTTGTTATCAGTCTAGTTGCAAATATAAAGGTGCATTTGCCTCAAGTGTTTTTTAACATCTACCTGAATGTCTAACATTTTCTTGCCTTGCACATTTCTGGCAGGTTGGTGAAACACTTTCCAAAATATTTTTTTTCATATAATATATAGAATCACAAAGGAAATTTACTATGTTAGAACATTTATGAATATATAAAACAGCTATAATATATAACATGTTTTATTACATTACATAATACTGTGATAACTAGTCAATTTTTTGACTATTGACCATATATCCAGAGACAGATAGAAATATATATAGATATCTAAAATAACTACAATATGACTTGAAAATATTTGTACTTTATCTTGATGAAAATTATTAACAGATTAATGCCAATGCTATCGTGGTTTATTGTCTGCTTTTGCATTAAAGAAGAGCCTACATTTCCTTAAATGGATGGATGCCATTTTTATCTGACTTAAATTCATAGATTTGCTGAGTTCTCTTTGGATGTATTTGAAGCCCAATTGAAAACCTTCTGATAGTCTGATTTGTTTTTAGTGTAGAAACACAATACAATCCTGTAAAAACACTAGTATTGCCAAAGTTATGAACATTAGTAATTTAGTCTTAACTGTGACCCTTTAACAGTGTCACCTTGCTCAAGTTTCTTCATCTATTTGGATTATGGTATCATGATTTGAAAATGAAAATTTTAAATCATCATGTTTCTGAAGTCAAACATGATTTTGGAATTGTTCATGTGAAAAAGACTTTTTTCTTCAGTGTTTACTCCACCCTTTGTCTTGCTTATATATTGCTCTTGAGAAATCAGACGCCAATTTAATCTTCTCTTCTTTGTTAATTGATTCGGTCTTTTTGCCTTGAGACTCAAAAGATTTTTTCTTTACCACTAAGTCTATTAATTTTGTAGGATATGTTTTAGAGTTCGTAATTTCAGGTCAATTTTCCCAGAAACATGATGTAAACTTCCAATAGGTTGATTCATGTCTTTTTTTTTTTTTAGTTCTAGAAAGTTTTCTCATAGTTTAAAATTTGTTTTGTTGCATTGTGGACTTTATCAGGGGGGTAAATTATATATGTTATATCTTTATATGTTAATATTTATCAATTTCTATTTTTAGCTTTTTCTTTGTTTTTGGCTGTTTTTGTTAATCTACTTAATATCCTCTATTCTATTGAACATTCCACTCTTAGGCAAATTGAAATGTCTATATTACTGAGATGACTTTTTTTCTTTTTCTACAATTTCTTTCTTGAGTACAATCACCTTTCATCTTTTTTCCTTTCTTGTTGGCCATATCTATTTTGAGTTTTGGAATTCTTAATAGTTATGTCCTCTAGTACCTGCAAATGCTTCTGTGTAGGCATGTTCTGTTAAAATTTTTCAATTTTCTTTTTTTTGAGGGGTATTTTTATCAGCATGGAAAAAGGAACTTTCTATTTTATTCACATAAAAAGCTTATATGAATGCCAGTCAACTTATGTTCATTTTTAAGTGTATGGATTGTCCTAAAAGAGAAATAACAAATGTTTTTTATAGATGGGATGCTTGAAGAGGAGTCCCTAAAGTGTATTCTGGAAGGGATGGGGGGTTTCTTTATTGTGTCTTTTGATTCTTTAAACACTCCTTTTTTTATACATCCCACAATTCCCAGAACTGTTTCCTTCTTTTCCTTCTCCTCTAAGCCTCCAAGCAATGTCTTCCCCATGAACTGCTCTCCAATACTACTTTTCTTTTCATGGGAGCAGTGCTTTCTAAGATGAAAACCTTCTGGTCTCACTTTCAAATCATTTCATCTCATTTCAGTTCTTCATATCCAGTGTTCTGATCTATCAAGTATCAGACAATTTCTCAGGGTAGACCCATTTTTTTTTCATCATGAATTCTAGATTTCTATACATACAGTATAGAATTCTTTTTTTTCTTCATAAACTCCTTTTTAAAATATCAGTTCTTTTGTTGGCTTTGAAAAACTTTCTGCTGCTCCTGAATTTTTATTCCCCATTATGTATTAATTAAACTTTGTGGTAATATCTTTTTCCTAGATGTGCCTTAGCCATAAATTATGTATTGGGGGACCATTTAATATATATTATTTAAACAAGGTGTCACAAAATGTGTTCCCCAGGAGACACAATCTGATATAGAATAAATTTAAAAGAAGGTTATTACAAAGTATGGAAAAGAGGGAAGGAAGGAGAATTTTGCTAAGTGAGAAATTGATGCCATTTCATGGGTGGCCTCAGTCAATTCTATAGGGGTATCTGAAACTGGAACAATCTTTCTGAACTGTCTTATGTTGGAATGACTAGAAAAAGAAGGGTAATTTAGGTGTGGATCTCTCTGGGAAATGTGAATGACCAAGGATAAGGCAGCTCTCTTTAGTCAAGGCCATCCTCTCAGCGGGTCTGATAGTTGAAATCTTTCTGCTACCAGCACTTACAAGTTATGGAAGTTATCACACCCACTGGGGATCTTGGCAGTGTATCACTGAAACCATCACAGTCTCTTCCTTTTTTTTTTTTTTTTTTTTTCACGGATCCGCTTTGTATACTTTCTTTTAGTAGCCCTGTCAGGATGCCAATAGGCCTCTCTTTCTGGGGGAAATTTAAAAAAAAGGTGAAAGATTTATATGATCTGAAGAGAAACCAGAGTATGGGAAATTTAAAAAAGACATGCTGGGGCACCTGAGTGGCTCAGTCATTAAGCGTCTGCCTTTGGCTCAGGTCATGATCCCAGGGTCCTGGGATTGAGCCCTGCATCAGGCTCCCTGCTCCGTGGGAAGCCTGACTCTCCCTCTCCCACTCCCCCTGCTTGTGTTCCCTCTCTCGCTGTGTCTCTCTTTGTCAAATAAATAAAAATAAAAATCTTAAAAAAATAAAATAAAAGAGATATGCTAGTGGGAGAGTACACAGCTTTTTTTTTTTTTTTTTAACAGCCACAGTAGTTTATTTACAATTGGACTCTTTATAAGATATTTACAAGACAACCAATTTTACACATCAGAAATGGTATCAAAAGTATGAATTACAACACAGACAACAATATGAAATGGGCATAAAACAAAGCTGAAGTGGACAGACAAGCAATTTCTCTTTTTAATTTATTAACACTAGCTTAACTTTGTTAAAGAAAGAAACAAAGAACTATGTTTTAGGAGAATTGCAGGGCCTTTGTTGAAGATTGAATTTCACAGTGTTGTATCCCATGTAGGGAAAAAATAAGACTTAATTTTCCCCCCACACTCTAACACACTGTAATTTCGCTCTTGGAATTTTGCTAATCTACTCTCCAACCTCCTCAACAAACCTCAACACATCCAAATTAAAGGAGAACTGATCTAGAAGAGGGGACAATAAAAGGAGCAGTCCTAGGTAGAGGGAGAACCAAGGAAATAGAATCCACTTAAGTCTGGCCAGATAGCACCTCATGGATTCCTCTTAGTCTAGCTCAAGTTCAGAATCTGGGGAGTCCCCTGGGTAGGGCACAAACACAAAGGTTATTTTTGCTAACCCATATCCAAATTAGGAATCCGACAAATGTATGGTCTTGGTATGACAACTGATTTGTACTAATTTCCTCCTCCACAAACTGCTAAATTCCTTTTACCCTCAACATGAACATTTAATGTCTCAGGGATTACCTATTGGCATGGCCTAGATCTTCACTTTTTTTTTTTTTTTTTTTTTTTAAGCAGGGAGGGGCAGAGGGAGAGGGAGCGAGAGAATCTTAAGCAGGTTTCATGCCCATCATGGAGCCCAACATGGGGTTCGATCTCGTAATCCTGAGATCATGACCTGAGCTGAAATCAAGAGATGCTTACCTTACTGAGCCAGTCACCCAGATGCCCCTACCTAGATCCTCATCTAGAGGATAAAATTTTCATGGATACTTGTTTTGGTGTTGCAGGGTCTTCTTTTCTGAGTCCCAGGTTGTTCTTCTACCAATGAGTTTAGTGTCTTACAACTGGTTAAAGTGCAAAAAGTGGGAAAGGAATTTTATATTAAGTTAGCTGCTCCAAATCTCTGGACTATTCATCTCTTATTTTACCTAAATTCAAAAATAGTACTGTTGGGTAAACATTAGCTAGCCTCTAGGAACATTGCGTTATTATAACTAGCCACAACGCTTTGTGGATCAAGCTTCTTCTGAATTTACTACACATTCTGGCTTATGACAGGTAAGTGCTGCAACTAGAAATGCTTTTGATTTGGGAAAAGGGGAGGGAAGGATCCTTAAATCCCAATCACAACTAGTCCATCCTAGTTTTAAGATGACATCACTTATACTCAGCCTGGAATAGCAGAGAGACAACACTAATCTTAGTGCTGGTGGTGCCCCTTTCACTAAAACATTCATTATAGCTTTGGAAAAGTTCTATGGAACATAGGAAAGAACATGGGAATATAGAACATGAGAAAAAAAATTTCTCCCACGGAAAAGGGTCTTCCTTTTACAGCCTTATATAGACTAATTTAGGATCCCCACTTTTCCAAGCCATTTGATATATTTTGTCCCCTGTTTGCCATGGAATTTTAACATTTCTTCCTCACTTACTATGTGCCATTACTTTGTTCATGCTTCCAGACGCATGTTAGCGTGTTTGTACCATTTTAGCAGAACATTATTTCCTATGTCCCAGAAGACTGTGCCAACATCATAAACCTACTGTTGTCCAATTTTATATTTTGCCTTTCTTATCAAGTACCCCCAGAATCCAATCACATGTACATACATTCTTCTATAATTAGCTAGTTCATGGGAGCTGAGTTCTGTAGGTCCATTGGGGCATAATTCTTTTTTTTTTTTTTTCCCCTTATCAGTCCAGAACAAACTCTGGTAGGTTATATTGTACTATAACCCTAGCCTATAGCATAGGAGTTAAGAAAGTACATGGAGAAGATCTTAGAGGGGATTTTCTTGCAACAGAGTGGCATATGTATTGCCTTTAAGCAAGGGGATGTGCTAACTTTTAATAGGGAGGAGTGGGTGACTTCTGTAGGTTCAGGGAGTTCATGGAAATCTATATATTCCAAGATTTTGTGAACAACAACCTGGGCTTAGCAGACCAAGTTTGGATTGGAAGTCTTTTTTCTTTGGAGCCTGACTACTCTTGCAAGTAAGTCCTTGGTCTGGTCCTCAGCTTTCTCTGCCTTTCTCTTATTGCAAGAGATCAGAGCTTCTCTGATGAGGCCCTCTAGCTTTCACAGCTGGATTTTAATTGCCAATTGTTAATTTCAGTTTTTAGCTATTTTTATCAAGAGCGCTGATAGTGATCACCACTTAATTCTATTGGACCAAATAAAGCATTCCTTTCCACCAGTATAGCATGCCAGCACACCATTGGTAAAAGGCTTTACACTTGCATAGCTACTCTTGTACCAGCAGTTATCTGTTCAAGACCTACCATCAGTGATGCAGTACTCATTGCAGGCTTTTCAGTAGGTCATTCCACTTTAAAATGCCAGTCCATTATCTGGTTTGGGGGCCATTCCTGGTGGCAGCTATTGTTGGTTCAGTTTTCTGGGATGCAGATGCTGAAATGGAGTTTAGCATTCAGGAGGTTTCTTAGAGAGTGATTTTATGAATGGGAAAAAAAATAAGTCATGTTTGGGGAGGAAATTGAGAGTCATGCAGTTTCAAGGGGAGTTTCAGATGAACCTCAGGGGCATTCTACAGCTAGGATGAACAATCAATGCTATTCTGAGTTGAGTCCTCAATTTACCACATTGATCAAATATTGGATTAAGGCTACACCAAAATATGAGTGTGACCTTGGGTAAGGTTTCTCCCTTCTGTCAGACAATCTTTATAGAGGGTGCTGAGGGTTGAAAGTTTTCTGCCAGGAGTTATTCCTGAAGCTGTGGAATAAACTTTTATACCTGAAGAAGATTCTGTGTGGTGCAGTGTTGTAATGTAAAAAATCTTCTGACTTTTATTTAATAGAAGCTCTATTATTAATAGTAACTATAGCTTGAGAAAGCATTTCATGGGCTTGTAAGTATTAAATTAGTAACATCTAGACTTACACCTTAAAATTAACAGTAAATACATACATGAGACAGTATCTATATACATATATTTTCCTGGGTCCTAAGACATTTTGGTTATTAAATTTACAAACTAGAAGAAATGTGTATTTGTGGATCCCTGAACATTTCCACCACCACTAGAGGCTGAACAGTCATAAACTAGGTTTAACCCAGATTATCTTGTGTGTATCTTCCACCTCTGAAATTCAGTTTCTATAACATGGATACTAGGTTCCTCAATCACTTATCTTTTGATGAATATATGGACATTACACAAAGGAACTTGCATGTAAGTTATCAAGAGAATCTGTAATATTAAATGGTATGTTTTTATCCTTATGTTGAAATGAGCAGTACATGAAATCTGCACAGTACCTAATATATTTTTTTACTTTGATAGTTTAACGATAGTTACAAGTCTGAAAACAAAATACTGACATTTCATTATGACTTTAGAATTATAACTAAAAGAGATTAGTTGATGTGTTATTTGATTAAACTTGCTATGGAGAATAACCAGTAATTTATAATTCATATTTACTTTTACAAGTGCCATTGCTCAAAGTTCAACTTGAAATCTTTATAAATTTGTTATCTAAAATATTTCTTGAAAGAAGTTAAAAGGCAAAAAAAACCACAAAAATCAAGCGGCAGTATGGTAAGTATAATGAAAACTGTAAATCACAATCCTGATTGCTGAGCAGAAATAATTTATGTGGTATTTCTGAATATTAACTATGCTGATATTCACTGTAATCCTCTTATGAGAGATTTTCACACTTTCCTAATATAAATGACATCCTTACAAAATTCCCTTTGGATTTTCACTAATTAAATAGAAAGGGATGTTTGAAGTATTTAATAATCTCAACCAAATCATTGCCTTTAACACTAAAAGAGAAGAGGCATGCAATTGTTAAAGCACATTTACTGATTTCAGTGTACAATTCAGCTGCATCTATTATGCAAAATAACATTTATATATTGAATTTTAAAGAACTGATTATTATCAACATAGCTATAGACATAGAAAATGGCAGGTATTCTGTTTGAGTCAAAAGGTCATAACATTTGAAACTGGAATTCTTCTAAGTAATTTGGGAAATAGGTTTCTATAAATATATGATGGCATTTTATGTTGTATAAGTTATTCTAGGGAATTCAGAATCATATAAGACATATATGATTAAATTTACAATATGTAGCATCATTGATATTTTACTCTTCTTTCTAAAAGGAATTAATGCCTGTTTTCCAAGTCCAAATTATAACCCCTTCACATGGATGTTTTTCCTGGTTTCATGTCCTAACTACACTTATGAGGTATGCTATTTATGTATGTAAATAATTAAACTTTATTCTGATATACTAAATGCATATGCTTATGTATTTACATATATTAAAGTTTAATATATATGATTATACACAGATTTTATCGGTAGATCTGTATATCAGAGATATATATTATGATATATTATTTCATTTCAAGTTATAGGCATACAGAGCCCGGCTAGCTCAGTCGGTAGAGCATGAGACTCTTAATTTCAAGTTATAGGCATAGGAAATTGGAACATTTAACCACAATTTTCCCTGCAAAAAAATGAATATTTTCGTATATATTTATTTTTAAAGAAAACTTTACAATCTTCATATAAAATGTCTTGAGATGTTTCAGGATTCCTTTTTTTTTTAAGATTTTATTTATTTATTTGAGAGAGAGAATGAGATAGAGAGAGAGAGCATGAGAGGGGGGAGGGTCAGAGGGAGAAGCAGACTCCCTGCTGAGCAGGGAGCCCGATGAGGGACTCGATCCCGGGACTCCAGGATCATGACCTGAGCCGAAGGCAGTCGCTTAACCAACTGAGCCACCCAGGCGACCCTCAGGATTCCTTTTTTTATCATCAAAGTTTTTGGAACAATATCTTTCATTTTGTTTTATGAATATGATGCTTTTTATGGCATTATGACTATCATATTTAACAACAAAATTATTATTTGGGTGACATTTATTTCTACCTATAGTTTTCCCACTGTGTTTTAAGCTTTCACATTACTTATATAATATCACAAATAAAAATATTAGATTAATCATAGGTATTTATTAATTTATGTTTTAATCTAACAGATTGGATCATGGATTAGTTTCACAGTCATGACACAAACACTGCCAGGTAAGACTAGGTTATTTGACATTTAAGTAAGTGCAGCTTTAAGAGAAGTGGTTTCTGATAACAAGTTTTCATAGTACTAAAGTTTGGCAGCTTTGCAAAAGGATTTTATGCTTCCATTTTTATTTTTATCTTGGATATTTTTAGAAGTATTAAAATATAATGAAACAAAAATCTCTAGGTAATTGTGGCTTAATCCAACCTAGAAAATGTAGCTCAAACATATTTACTAGCGACAAGGATTTGTTAACAGAAGTGGTGATAATAATACACTTCACTTGAAACTCTTATGCATGAACACAGACAGACATGTGTATGTGCTGTGTCCTTCAAGTGTCCGTGATGTCTCTGAAGGGAAGGCTGGGAGCATGAGTGTGTAATCTTAAATGCTGGGCATTTTAACACACATAAGAGAGTTAAATTGAAATGAACTGCATGTATTGGAAAGGGTATGTATTACATCCATTTCATCCATTATTTGTTCCACTGTATAAAATTTTTGAATCATAATTAACGTGGTTTGCTATATGCATGTGTGTCTAGATGTATGTTATATACATACAGAAAACTACTATTGAAAAATTCAGAAAGATAAAAATTCCTTATTTGGAAATACTTTGTGGCAGTGGGATATAAAAAAATGTGGATTTATTTTGACCTCTGCTATGTACTTTCTATGTTTATTCAACCATGTGGTAAAAATAGAATATATATTATGCTAGGCAATTAATATGAGTAAAGAAAATTGATACAGAAGTATCACTTGAGAAATATTTTAAGAGCTAAATAGATTCTTTTTCTAATAGAACTTGCTATATCTATCATAGAAATAAGAAAGGATAATTCTTTTTTTTTTTTCTAGTTGGGATTTTTACACTTCTGATGAGTATCCAGATGTCTCTGTGGGCACAAAAGAAACATAAGATTTATTTGAAGAAATTCAATTCTTATGTGCATAGAAAATCAGCAATGATTCCATTCATACTGTAGGAAAAAATATATAGAAGAAAAGTATATAAGCTCAATAAATCAGACTTGGGCAATTGTTGACTATAATGCAACAGATTTTCAAAAACTACAGTACTTTTACTGAGTATAAATATTAAATGGTATCATCTAGCTAAATTTAAAGGAATAAACCTGAGACAAAAAGAAGAAACCATAAATATGGGACTAATAAAAAATAGTATCCAATATCTTTTCAAAGAATTGGTCCTTAAACAAGATTTTCTTACGTCATTAAATATTTCATAATACTATTTGCTTAAGATAATTAAAATACCTGAATTCTAAAGTAAAAAAATTGTGACATTTAAGTCCCTTGAATTTTACACATTTTGATAGTAATTTATTATTTTCTTTATTGTTCAACATGTTATTGAGAAGTATATTTCAATTTCTTGTGAAAATTCTACCTATATTAAAAGTGAAACATGTAATTTCTCATGCCATATTCATTTATTCATACATACGTTGTATGTATGAAACTATACATTCTGAAACTATAATAATTAAAAATATTTTCTAGACATTATTTACTAAATCATTTGAATATATACTGCATATTAAATATATATTTATATTTACATGCAAATCATTTTTATATATAAGTATATATTGAAATATGTATTTTTAAAATTGATTATATGTGATGACAGAGTACATTGGAGATGTTTTGAGATTAAGAGTGGAAATATTTCCTATGTCCTCTCAAAGCTTGTTTGCATATGTGTGTGTATGTGAATATGCATATATATTTTGACAGGGAGATGACTGATACAAAAATCAAGTACACATTATTTAAATATTTTTAAAAAATAAAGTTTCTTCATTTTTAAATTGAGATTCTTTAGATTGGTTAATTTCTAGAACCTTTCAAATTTCTACATATATATCAAAATATCCTCATTAAAGCTGTTAGATTATATACATATTTGACAAAATATCCTTGGTAAATGTAGGTATGTATGCATTCTGTGGGAACCTATCATTAACACATGTGTCAAATTATTCAAAAAATAAAAAAGCACCCTTTTAAAAACTTTGTTATCATCCCCAAATGTATAGCATTAAAATATCTCAGAGGAAGACAACAACAAACTTTAATTCCCTAATATGTATTCAGCAAAGTAGCATGGAATCAAGCAAAAGCCTTTTTTTTTTTTTTTTTTTTTTTAGCATATAATGTATTATTTGTTTCAGGGATACAGGTCTGTGATTCATCAGTCTTATACAATTCACAGCGTTCACCATAGCACATACCCTCCCAGTGTCCATCACCCAGCCACCCCATCCCTCCCAACCCCCTCCACTCCAGCAACCCTCAGTCTGTTTCCTGAGATTAAGAGTCTCTTATGGTTTGTCTCCCTCTCTAGTTTCATCTTGTTTCATTTTTCCCTCCCTTTTCCTATGATTCTCTGTTTTGTTTCTCAAATTCCACATATCAGTGAAATCATATGATAATTGTCTTTCTCTGATTGACTTATTTCACTTAGCATAATAACCTCTAGTTCCATCCATGTCATTGCAAATGGCAAGATTTCATTTTTTGATGGCTGCATAATATTCCATTATATATATATATATATATATATATATATATATATATATATATATATATATATATATAAATACACACACACACACACACACCACATCTTCTTTATCCATTCATCTGTTGATGGCCGTCTAGGCTCATGCAAAAGTCTTAAAAGGAGGTACTAATACATTAACCCACATACACTTAATACATCTATGTAATCAACCACCTGTGATAATTATCTTTGTTGAAAGACAAAGAATAGCTATGTATTCTTAACTAGATCCTGACTGATGCCAATCCAGGAAGTTTGCACATTCTTACAGGACTAGAAGCTCTTTGATACAGCAAGGAATGATGGGATACTTACAGGACAAACATTTCTCTTCCCATGGTGCTACATTCCCTCATATCTATCTCATACCAATCATTTCCTTACAGTTGAGAATCACACCTTGGTTAATGGGTTATGAACTGCTTTTTGAAAATTATTTCTTTCTCATTTTTATTTCCTGGAAGACTCATTGCCTCAAAAGATAGAAACTGTTAAATTTACACCATTTTGTTATCAACATTAATGTTGCCAAATATAACCACTAATCACATGATTAGGTATTTACCCAAAGAATATAAGAACACTAATTCAAGGGGATACGTGCATCCTTACACAACATTATCTACAATAGACAAGATTTGGAAGCAGCCCAAGTGTCCATCAGTTGATGCATGGATAAAATGGATAAAGAATATAGGTATAGGTACACACACACACACACACACACACACTGGCTTGTTATTCAGCCATAAAAAAGAATGACATGCCTAGAGCTTAAGAGTATCATGCTAAGTGAAAAGAGTCAGAGAAAGACAAATACCATAGGATTTCATTCCTGTGTGGAATTTAAGAAACAAAGCAAACAAGCAAAGGGAAAGACAACCATCTGATGGTTACGGGGGCCAGGATGGGTTATACAGGTTATGGGAATTAAGGAGTCATGATGAGTATATGGAACTGTTGAATTACTATATTGTACTCCTGAAACAAATATAACACTGTAACTCACTGGAATTAAATAAAAACTTAAATAAAACTAAACAAAATAAAATACTTGAGCTTCCCTTTTTATTATCCTAGGATTTCAAAGCAGGCTATAGGATCTGTCCTTAATGGACAAGAATAATAATTATTCTAAGTGAATCAATAACTCAGCAGTCACATTGTTGTTCCTTAAATTTTCTCAAAGTTGAGTGGATATGATGTCTCAGCAAAAAGGATACTGTACAAATGAGATGTTCAAACAGCTAAGTTTACTTGGAGAAAAACTGAATATAAAATACCTTCTGTAGGGACACAATGTCTGTGCCTTTTATTTCTATGTTTGGCAAATGGAAACATGTAAAATCAGTATTTCTTCTCCATTAACTGACATAACAATATAGAACTACCTACCGGCCCTTCATGATTAATAAAAACAACATAAAAATAGCCTGCTAAGTTGTATTTTCATTCCAAATATGATCTCCAAATATCATCTAATTTCTGATTTTAAACATCTAAAGATAGTATTAACTTTTCTTTATTAAGTTTTTGTTCTTTTATTTACTGGGCTGCATGGATAAAAAGGAATGGACGTTACTTCAAGCTGTAAATGCCTGTTCAAACTATGGAACTGGGAATCTGATTCACATGCTCAATCTTCTCTCAGGCCATTTGTTTGTTATAATATCTTAAAATTGCTCTTCATTTCTATCATTTTTGCAGAGCATACCATTTATAAAAACAAAACAAAACCCCTAAAGTTTTAAAAATAAAAATATATCATTGGTGGTTATAGATCTATAAATTCATGTCCAATGATATCTTCATAGATTGAGTTATTTATTGATTTACTTGATGTTTTATAACTCCCTTCTACACATCTAGGGTCTTTAGGAGGATGAGTCAGTTTAAGGGTCCTTAGGAGGATGAAACTATGCAAAGTAGAAAAGACCAGGTTAGGAAATGAGTTCCACACAACGTGTCCCTCCATTAACATAGAACTTACTATGTCTTCACAAATAAGGGCCCCATTCCCAACAAAGGCTGGAAATAAACTTAGTCAGGAGTGCAAAAATATAATCACAGATTTCAGCCTCAATCATCCAAATCATTTAATGCAATAATTATTATGATCCCTGCGAAGCTACAGCTTTGCACCTTCCATTTGGAGTTTTTAAGAATGGTAGCCAATAACACATTTCAATTTTATGACTGTAATTAATCATATGAGAGTAAATAAATTAACATCAGAATTTACTGATTGATACTGGATTTGTGATTACATATAATATTAAAAATATAGTTCATTTAATCTAATAATTATTCTAATAGTTACCTTTTTGAATCATTGTCTGGAAGAATACTTTCTTTAATCCCAAATAAAAATTTGCAAACAGTGTTTTTAAAATACCACACCTTCATCTCTCACACATTTCTTGTAAAAAGTAGCTGCAGAAAGAAAATAATCAAAAGAAAAACAACAAAAGTTAAGTCAGCTGCTATGCCACCCCAAATTATCACAGCATACTGCTTCTGCTCTCCACCCCTTCATCATGTCTACCTCAAGCTGCTATTTTATAGGTGTTTTCGATTTGTTTGCATGTGTTTTAAAAAAAATGTTTTGCCTCTAATTTTGAATAAAAATAGACCTGTAGTGCATTTTGCCTTTAAGTAAGTTTTGTGGAAACAAAAGTTATTCTCTGACTCATACACAGGCACACACAAGCACAAACACAGCAATTTTAAGTATTATCATTTCTTAAGAGAAAAAATATTTTGGGTCAAATAATTTTTAAATAAATAAAGCAAATTCTTATTTTTTAAATGGACGTGTTTTATCTTCTCTATAGAAATGTTATGTTTAATACCTAAGCATAATCAAATAAGAAAATTCAACATTATAGCTGAATATCTTGTATATTTACCTTTAATCTTCAGTAATTAAGCATATTTTCAAGGTATTTTAAGTTTGATTTTAAGTAACTGGCATTCAGTATATGTTTAGCAGTTGATGTATTTCAATTAAAACATTTGTCCTCATAAAATACAATAAAATGACCTGTGAATTGATAATGAATGTTCTTTCCACTTTTTTTTTAGTAAAAAAGAAAAGAAAACCTTTATGTTGCTCCTGGATATTAAAGGTGATTATAGCAAATGTTACTTTATAAGCACAAGTAAGGGCATTTATGCAGCTTTTGCATAATGATAATAATTAAAAACCATTTATTTTAAAGGCTGCTTAAAAGCTAATTTTCACCCAGGTGCATATTGAAGCCTATAATTAGCCTTCCTTCAGAGGAGGTTTGGTTGAGGAAATGCATAAAAGCATTTCCAGAGGCAGAAGTTTCCTGCTAAAATGAGATTTTGGTTTTTAACTTTAGCTTGATAAAGGTGCTTAAAATATGTGAGGAAAAAATGCTCAGAAATATTTTAAAAAATGAATCTATAATCATCCTAGATAGATTTTATTGAGAAGACATATTTACATACACTTTGTTTGAGAAATGAAGTCCTATAAGACTGGTACCTGGGAAATTTTATTATTTACAACAAATATAAGAAGTGTTCAAAACAATCACAAAGCATAATTTCTTGTGTATAGTGCCATTCTACTGGCCTGAAAATCAATGTTATTTCTATGATAAAACCTTACTTATATGTAATGTATGGGGATTAACATAAGAATAAAAAAAAACCCCTTACTTATAATTCATTCTTCCTCTACTGATGATTTCCTACTTACTAACCTTTCACCAGATGGTTTATTTTCCAAAAACTCTTCTGTACTTCCTGACAGAATCTCTGAGTGGAGGAAATCATTATACTTTATCTGTTGTTCAAAAGAGAATACAATAGGATATATAATCCCAACAAGTATTAAAAAAAAAAAAGTCCAAGTACTATTACTTTAAGAAGTTTATAGAAGTAAAAAATAAGTCACTTAGGAATTATTGTGAAATATCTGACACTGGCTGAAGTTTGTTTCCCTGTTTAGTTATGAGTTTTCCTATCTATAAAATGAGATGTTTGAGGTGAGTAACCTATAATATCCTTTCCCAATATTCTTGTAGAAAATTGTTGATTCAAATCATTGTCAATTCTCATTGCTCTCAAAAATTATATATCATAAAATCCATGTTTGAATTATGTAACCAACGTTTACTTTTTATACAACATAATTTCTACTAATTAGGTAAATATATTTATTAGTACGTGATATCTAAAGAACACATCTAAGCTTTCCTGAACAAATTAAACAAGA